CATTTGGGGGGGGGGGGGGGTTGGTGCTATCCTGGCATTTCAGGGCCTCCGAAACTGTAATAGGTAGTCAAGAAGTGTAATGAGGAAATAAAGCCCTTTAAAAGCCTAAAGGTGCTTATTTGATTTTGGGGTCCTATACTTGGCTAGACTGCCAAAATATCTCTCACATGTGGTACCCCCATACTCGGGAGAAGTAGCAGAATGTATTTTGGGGAGTAATTCAACATATACCCATGGCATGTGTGAGCAATAAATCATTTAAGTGACAATTTTGTGCAAAAAAAAAAATTTTTTTTTGGTCATTTTCCAAAAACGTCTTCTATTGATTCAACATGCCTCTCAGCAAATAGTTTGGGGTGTCTACTTTCCAAAAAGGAGTCGTTTTGGGGGGTGGGGGCATTTTATGACCAGCATTAGAAGTTTATGCCACACATCACTCACTCTTCTAACCACCTGAAGATCAAGCCTTTTCTGACACTTTTTGTTCACATGAAAAAAAATCTGTATTTTTTGCTAGGAAATTAATTTATTTCAAAATGTTTTTATTGAAGATTTTCAATAACAAGGTAATGTTATAATAATGACGTTCAGTTCAATAAAAATTGCAGACTTACAATACAGTATTGGAATGTGTGTACCCCACCATTTGGCTGGAGACAACTTAGGAATAAGGCAATAGCATCAGAGGAAGATATGGATATATACTGAACTTTGGTGAGGTGTAGGAAATGGTAGTGGGGTGTTAAACAGGGGGGGGAACGGAAGAGGGTAGGGAGAGGAGGGGGAAATTGTAATGGGATGGAGAGAGGAGTACCAGTCTAGAATGGATGGGTAGTTCAATTGTTTGTACAAAATCAGGCTTGTACTGAGCAATTGGGATGTTGTAACCAGCTAGTCCATTGGGAATTGAATTTGTATTGGGTGGAGTTGTTGAGGGACAATCTTTTTTCCATTTCACATTGGAAATTAAGATCTGTAATTAGTGATTTGAGAGAAGGGGCAGTAGTGGTGTTCCATAGTCTGGTTAGATTGATTTTTGCTGCGAAAAGTACGTGGACAATGATAGTGCGAGATGTACAGGGGAATTTTTCAATCCTAAAGTGTAAAAGCGCGAGTAAAGGGTTTGGGGTGATCACTGTTTGGGTTATTTCAGAGAGTAGTTGGAAGACACTTTTCCAAAAGGATTTAATTGATTTGCATGACCATAATATGTGCAGAGTTGAACCTATGTCTCCGCATTGTCGCCAGCAAGAGGCGGAGTGTTTTGGGTGATACATGGCAAGTTTGACTGGGGTTAGGTACCATTGGTGAAGGATTTTTAAATATGATTGTAAGTGGTATTAAATGCCATGCTCCATGCGTGTGATGTAATTGTGCCTGAAAGTTTTTTCCCAGTGGGATAAAGAGGTAGATTTTAGAGCAAATTGCAGGTTCGTTATGTATTTGTAGAAAGTGGAGATACCTTTACCTGGGTATTGTGGTTTTGTAAAGAAAGAGTAGGCAGTATTAGGGATTTTTGTGGTGAGAAGTATACTCTTTGTTCGTATACAGTGGGCAGTTCTTAAGTAGGTGAAGTATTCCGTGGAAGGCAAATTGAACGTGGATTGAAGATTTTGAAATGGCTGTAGGGCGTGATCTGTATAGAGGTCTGTTATTTTGTATATGTTTTTCGTTTTTCCCATTGGGATAGGTCCATTGAGGGTGTAATGGAGTGTAATATGTCAATTGGGGTGAGAATTCATTTGGGGTCCGTGTATTCCATGGTCAGAAGTTTGCGCCATGCTTGAAGGGTTGCTTGGATACTTGGATGTTTTAATTGGTAATTGGTTTGAGGCATTGATGGAATTAGGAGTAGATTTTGGGGTTTAAGTGGATGGAAGGGTAAGGTTTCCATTGTAGGCCAAATTTTTTCTCTGTTTGGGTTCCACCAAAAATATATTTGGTCCAGCAGAGTAGCATTATAGTAGGATTTTAAATGTGGAAGGCCAGCGCCTCTTTGGAAGATGGTCGTATTAAGAGATTGGTAGTGCATCTAGGTTTTTTAGAGTTCCATAAAAATCTGGAGAGAATCGATTCCAATTTGGAGAGGAAGGTGTTAGGATCTGGTATGTGGAGCGTGCGAAAGATATACAGGATTTTTGGTAGGATGTACATTTTCAAGGTCGCAACTCGGCCTAATTTGGAAAGTTCTGAGATGCATAGGGTGGCAATTTCTTGGGGTATAGTTTCAAGTAGTGTTTTGTGGTTTGAGGAGAATAGTTGGTCCGTTGTTGCAGTGAGTTTTATTCCTAAATAGGGGATGTTATTTTTTTTTGGCAGGAGAAGGGGAATTGTTTAGCAAGTAATATTTGGGTTTGGTGTGGTGTGTGGAGATTGAAGGTTTGGGTTCATTGAGTTTATATTAAGAAACCGTTGAGTATTGTTGAAGGTGCGTTCGTATTGTTTTGAGGGATTTGGTTGGATTGGTAATCATCAATATAATGTCGTCTGCAAATAGGCTAATTTTATGTTCAGTGTTAAGGAGTTTGATGCCAGTAAATGCCGGGTCATCTCTGAGTTTAGAGGCTAAGGGTTCAATGAGCAATGCAAATATGATGGGGGATAGTGGGCAGCCTTGTCTAGTACCATTGGTGATATCAAAGGGGTCTGATAATGTTCCGTCTGTTAACCACTTCCTGTCCGGACACTTTTACCCCCTTCCTGACCAGGGCAATTTTCAGCTTTTAGCGCTATCACACTTTGAATGACAATTGCGCGGTCATGCAACTCTGTACCCAAATGAATTTTTTACCATTTTTTTGAGACAGATAAAGCTTTATTTTGGTGGTATTTATTCACCACTGGGATTTGTATTTTTTTTGCTATGTAAATGAAATGTCCAAAAATTTTGAAAAAAAGTGTTTTTTTTATAAAATTTTGCAAATAAATAATATTTCATCATAAATCTTAGCCAAAATGTATTCCATTATCTTTTTAGTAAAAAAAAAAAAAATCCAAATTAGTTTATAAGCAAAAATTATAATTTTTAAACATTTTTTTTTACATTTTTATTTTATTTTTTTATATTATTATTTTTTATTTTTATTTTTATTTTTTACATACTGTCACCCGAGCAGTACAGTGTCACCATGGTGACACTGTACTACTTGTGGGGGGTGATGAAGATTTTTTTTTTTTTTTTTTTACACTGATTGCTTTTACACCCATATAGGATGTAAAAGCAATTATTTCTCTTTCTCTCTGTGTGCATTCTTGCACTCATTGAGAAATACAGAGTGAGCTGTGATTGGTCACAACTTGTCACATGGTACAAGGCTTTTGTGAATAGCCTTGTACCATGTGACCTCTGTGATCATTCACAGATTTCACACGTAGTAAGCAATGATGTCACAAGTGACATCTTGCTTACTACTTTGCATGTGATCACTGATCGGCCAATCAGTGATCACATGATCGGGACCTCGTACAGAGGTCCCGTCCGACGATCGGTGTTTCACTGTGTCCGGAGGACACAGCGGGCTCCGGATTGCGGTGCTGCGCGCTCCCAGGGAGCGCGCACAAGCAGGGTGCGGGGAGGCCGTTTATAGACGGCCACCCGACCCTGCAGTGCCACCGTCCGGCCGTTTATATACAACGGCCGGACGGGAAGTGGTTAATACTCTGGCTGAGGGGAGGGAATATAGTGATAGGATGACTGTTAGCATCCATCCTGTAATTCCAAATTTCTGTAATGTCACTCGCATAAATAGCCAATGTATTTGATCAAATGCTTTTTCTGCATCTAAGGATAAGAGTATTGAGGGCTGTTTGGTGTGTTCTAAATGGTGGAGGAGAGCTATAAGTCTTCTGGTGGCATCGGGTGCTTGGTGGCCTGGTATGAATCCTACTTGGTCTGGGTGTATTAAGTTAGGAAGATAAGGAAGTAATCAGCGAGCTATAATTTTTGCATAAAGTTTTATGTCTGTGTTGAGTAGGGAGATTGGTCTGTAAATTTGGACGAGTTGCGGGTCTTTGCCAGGTTTTCAATTGTTGTTATTATTGATTGCAGCATGTCTTTGGGTAATATGCCAGTGGTGGCAGCATGGTTAAAGAGTTTGGATAGATATGGTGCTAGATTAGGGGCAAAATATTTGTAAAATTCGTTCATATAACCGTTGTTTCCTGGAGATTTGTTTAGAGGGAGTGTTTTGGTGATATTTTCTATTTCTTTGATAGATATCGGGGTAGATATAGCGTCAAGTTGGGATGGGGATAGTTGGGGGAGTTTGGTTATGTGAAGAAATTGTTGTATGGATGTTAGTGTTGGTTGGATAGTGTCAGGATCGTTTTTAAGATTGTATAGTTGTTGGTAATAGGTCGCAAAGGCATTAGCTATTTCTTGTGGATTTGTGGTTAAAGTGTGTGTGGTTGGGTGATGAACTGAGGATATTTTGGCTTTTAGGCATCGCTGTTTAATCATTTTAACATAGACGTAGAGGTTGAGGGGTTTGGGGATGTTTTGTTTAATTCTTCTTTTGTTTTAATTGACATGAGGAGTTTGTCTATTTGTTGGTTTCTTTGTTTAGAGATACGGGCATTTAGTTGGATAAGAATACCTCTCATGTATGCCTTGTAAGTAGACCATAGTATAGGTATAGAGATATCAGGTGATTCATTCATTTCAAAAAGATTATGAGCTTCTAGTATATGTTTTCTGTGGTCTGGATTCTTCAGTATGGTTGAGTTCAATCTCCATATTCGAGGGATCATAGAATGTTGATTGTGGTCTAGAGTGATGGAAATTGGAGTGTGGTCCAACCATGTTATGGTGCCAATCTTGGAGGAGGTGATATGTTGTAGGGTCCACTTGTCTGTGATGAAAAAGTCAATTCTGGAATACGAGAGGTGGGCTGGAGAATAATAGGTGTAGTCTTTTTCTGTACTGTGTTGGCATCGCCATATGTCGTAGAGGTCGTTGTTGTGTAGAAAGTGATGAAAAGTTTGTTTAAAGGAGCGTTTACTACTGGAAGAAGAGTCCAGGAGTGGGTTGTTTATGATGTTGAAGTCTCCTCCTAATAGTAGCCTGCCTTGTCTCTGGGTAGTGATGATTGAGATTAGTTTGTTTTAGAATTGAAGTTGGTTGGTATTTGGCCCGTAAATGTTGACCAGGGTATATAGGATTTTGTTGATCTTGCATATCAGAATATGTGTCAGGAATGGACTTGCCAATAGTGGTGGGACTCACCTGCCTTGTGGGCTGCAGTACCAGGGCTGGCCAGCGGGTACTCTCAACAACCAGAGGTTCACTTCCGCAATTAGCCATCACCTGGGGCTGATTGCAGGTGGTGTATTTAAGGGATGGCCAGACCTGCAGTCTGTGCCTTGGTGTGTGTTTTTCCATGGGCCCCTGTACCTTGTAACCTGCATTCCTGTTCCTGTTCCTACCTGACTTGTTGCCGACCCTGCCTGATCCTGACCTCTGCTGACTTCTGTTTGATCCCTGGCTTGTGACCCTGACCATTCTCTCCGCCTGCTCCTCCTGTACCTACCTGCCCGATAGTTATTGACCCGGCCTGCCTGACTACGTTGTGCTCTATATGTGTATGTACCTGTGTATCTTTATCAGTTTAGGTTTGGGTTTGTTTCACCTTGTTGTATGTATTTGTGTTAGCTTGGGGTTTGGTGCACTGCGTTTATGTTTGTATTGTTAGTCTTAATAAATTGTCTTATTTATACCATATCTGAAGCTTGCGTTTCCCTGTGTCAGTCCACACACTTCTGGTCACACCCGCATCCCTGACATTATGGTAGCAGCCTTGTGGATGTGCAAATTCTGAGATATATTGGAATTGGAGGGAGTCTCTTATGGCGGTGATCACGCCGTTCTTTTTCTTGGAGTTGGTTTGCATATATATCGATGAGAAGTAGTGTAAGTTAAATTTGGGAATTTTGGAGGAGGCAAAGTGGGATTCTTGGAGGAATAGAACATCAGTTTGCAAAGAGCGAGCTTCTTTTTGCAGTAGAGATCCCTTGTAAGGAGAGTTGAGGCCTCGGACATTCAACGATGATATGCTAATCATATTGCTGGGTATTTACGGGTTGCATGGAGTAGGAGAGATGATTCGTAAGTTGTGGGAAAAGATGGATATTTCTTTGTCGTGGTTGTAAAGCTTCCATAGAGAAGAAGTAGTGATCTTGATATGTTTGCTGGTTTGAGGAGGTTAATTCCGCTTGTGATAGAGGTGTTTGAGGGAAAGGGGGTTGATGTGAGCGACTGGTGGTATGAGGTGGGTAGGGGGTTAAAAAAAGACTTGTGAAAAATACAAGTAACATGTGTAGCAGATGTTGCTACTGTATAACGGGGTAACATAAACATACATGACTCAAGAAAGGAGTCATGTTGACGAAAAACTTGAAGTTTAGAAATGTTCGGTTAGGGGTCGTCTGTCAGCCTTTAGTGGTTTTGAGGTGATACCCAGTGTGTTGGGTAGTAAATGGTGTTAGGGATTTTTGGTTCAGGACCATTCTGCATCCATTTGTTGTGGTCGCGTTGAAGAGGATTGGTGGGAGTCCACTGGTAGGATGTTCCATGTTTTCAGGAGTCCGATGCCTGCTTCTAGGTTTTTGGCCGTGTAGAGCCTTCCTTGATGCTTAACGATGAGCTTCGTGGGAAAACCCCATTGGTAGCCAATTCCATGGTTCCGCAGTGCTTTAGTTATGGTAATAAGTTTCTTGTGGTTGAGAAGTGTAGCTTTGGATAGATCTGCGAATAGTTTTATATTAGCCTGAGATGCCGGAATTGAGGTAGGGTTTCTAGCAGCTGGCATGATTTTTTCTTTCACGTGGTAGAAGTGCACACGCGCTAGGATATCTCTAGGTATTGCGGCCGGTAGGAACGATGGTTTTGGTATCCTGTGTGCATGATCTATGGCAAGCTCCACGTCTGTTAGAGAAGGGATGAGGTGCTTCATGTATTGCTAGATGTAAGGGACTATGTCACCTGTAGTGATAGATTCCTGTATTCCGCGGAATTTAATATTGTTTGCGCCTGAAGCGGTCTTCTAGGTCTGCCAATTTTAGGTTAATTTGTTCTATGTCAGCTTCGTGGTCTGTGTGTGCATCTATAAGGTCATTGTGTGCCGTGAACATTTCCCCCATTTTGTTCTCAATATGGCGGATGTGTCGGTCCTGATTTAGTACCGCGGATGAGATTTGCGATATAGTTACTGTCAGGTTGTCATGTAGTGTTTTTTGCAGGGATAGTAGCATACTTTTCATTGAGATTTCAATGATAGGATGATCAGAAGCAGGAAAGTTTTCAATTAAAGATCGAGTAGAATTAGCAGTAATTGTATGAGGATAGGAAGGTTGCAGGTCAGAAACAGAATATATGCCCAGTCTGGGTCTGGACTTAACAGGACTGCTTGTAGAAGGAGACAGGGGCAGAGAGGACTCACCCGGGTATCCTGTATATAGTGGTGCCTTGAGCCTGGGGTCTGCGCTGTGTCTTCATCTGCTTGTGTGTGGAGACTGTCTGCTGAGGAGCCAGCTCCATCTTGGATGCAGGGGCTGAGAGCAGGGAAGAAGCTCGTCAGGTTCCCTGGTTGCCCTGGTGATCTGCGGCGTCGGGGTATGATCTGGAGGGTGGCAGGAGCCTCTGTAACTCCTTATGTCTCTGGGGAGAGGCTGCGGTATCCCTGTTTCTAGTGTGAGCCGCGGTTAGGCTGACGGCGGGACGGAGCTCTTACTCACGAGCTGTCATCCCGGAGCCGGCCACGCATGCGCCCCCTAGCAAATTAATTTAAACCCCCAAACATTAGATATTTTTTAAAAGCAGACACCCTAGTGAATAAAATGGTGGGTACTACAATTTTTTATGTAACAAAGTACTCACGCAGTGATTTTTCAAATGCAAATTTAAAAAAAAAATACACTTTTTTTACATTTAATGCACAAAAAACACAATATATTGGTCAATTTATTTGGTAAAATATAAAAGGTGATGGTATGCTTAGTAAATAGAAACCAAACATGACATAATTTAAAACTGCGCATGCCCCGTGAAATGGTGACAAACTGCATACGTTTTTAATATCCATAGGCAACGTTTTAAAAGCCTTTACAAGCTACCATTTTAGATTTAAAGAGGGAGGTCTAGTGTTAGAATTACTGCCCTTGATCTGAAGTTCACAGCGATACTTCACATGCATGGTGCAACCGCTGTTTACATACATACTGGCGTGGGGGGGGGGGGGGGGGGGCGAGGGTGCTTTTTTTTTAATTTTAAATTTTTTTTACACTGTCCCTTTCATTTTTTTTTTATCACTTTTAATGCTATCACAGGGAATGCAAATATCCCCTGTAACTTTAATGGGCATTGTCATATATTCTTTTTTGAGAAATCTGGGTTCTATCAGACTCTAGATCTCTCCTCTGCCCTTACATTATCTAATCAAACCAAGATCAGTGTGATCAGATGCTTTCCCAATTTACAAATGGTGCTGTTTATATCCTGTGAAACTGAAGTGCTGAAATGCTCCGATTTCTTAGACTAGACTATAGAGATGATTGGCACCATTCTGGTCTCCATTCAGCTCTATGGTCAGCTGGCAGAAACACCGGCTGCACTCTCAGGTTCCCCCAATGGCATGAGACTGCCCAAGAAGGCCATGGAAGGCAGCGGGGGAGGGGGGGGCATCCTCTCTTGCTGAGTGTAAAAAAAGTAATCCTGCAGCTAATTTGTCACTGCGATTGCTTTTACATGAAAGCTGTTCGCCGGCTGAAAAAAATTATACCAGGATGATGCCTGCAGCTCTATTTACTCATCCTGGTATAACCATTCAAAGTCCAGGGATGTACCAGTACGTCACTGGTCCTTTTTGGGTATATATGCTATGTTCTTTTTTTGTATGCAGTCTGTTGACTGAATGAAAAAGAGAAAAAAACTCTGCCAGAAAAAGTGTGTGGTATGCCCACCATTAGAATATACCACCCTGCATCCACCCACTTCTAATGGTGGGTACACATTAGGTCGCACGATGCACATGCGTCAGTTCCAAGATTGTACATATGTCTAAATAGTAGCACGCTTGAATAAAAATTGTCCACGTATAAGTGGTACCCCATGTAGAAAAAGGATGACACCAAGTCCCAAACTATCTTGCCACTACTCCCCATGTAGTCTGGGCATCCGGGGGGCTCCACGTGACTATCTTTTCCCTCATAAATATGAAACTTATAAGTATAGCCTGTTGCCCTGTCACAGGTCTTATACATGTTGACCCCATAGCTGGCACGCTTGCTGGGGAGAAATAGTTTGAATGCAAGGCAGCCAGAAAAATTAATGAGGGACTAAACGCAGATTTTTTGCTGGAGATTATAGACATCTGCAAATTTTTGGTTAAGGTGATTTACCAGGGGCTGAATTTTGTGGAGCCAGTCAAATTCAGGGTCACCTTGAGGATGACAGAGTATATTGTCGTTGAAATGCATAAAACACATTATACTCTCATATCTATGCATTACCATGGCAGCAGAGAACGTGGGCATATATGGTGAATTGGGTCTGTGGACCAATACAACTGCAATTCATTTTTTTTAGTAATGCCCATGTTGAGGGTTAGGCCCCCAAAAAATGTAAATTCGGAAACCATAATGGGTTTCCATGCGAATGGTCTGGCAAGGTTTGAATTTGGGTTGTCAGCGATAAATTGTTGCGCATATAAATTGCTTTGATACACAATCAATGCATACAGATATTCCATGAAAAACAGCTCCAAAAAATCAAGGTGAGTAGTTAAATTTGCTGTTTCCACCTGAATTTCAGGTTGGGCAGTGAATAGGGGAAGTACGGGTGCTGCAGAATTTGTGGGCTGCCAATTGGGATTTGCAAGCACATCTGGAAGGATACTAGGGGCTCTACGGGCCAGTGTGTGAATTCTTGATGGTTGCTCACCAGCTTGTACTACACTTATGGGACTCGCCACATCACCAAGTGATACTGCAGTGCTAGTATGTGAAAGACCAAGATGTACTTGGCCATTGCTGCTAGCCAGTTCACCAAAAAGTAGCGTGACACTAGTACTGGCACTCTGCTGCATATGAGAGTCATCAAAATTTACCGGCAAGTGCTAACAGAGATCAGGCCTGATTCTGCGAACACTGCGGTTTTGTGTGCAATGTATCAAGTGACAGTGACCTACTGACACTGCACTTGCTGCGGGAGAAGGGGGGGGGTAAGCATAGGGGCTAAATGCAGGCACTGGCAGGTGTCGGGGCTGATTCCGCTAATGCTGCATTTTTGGGGACACTATACTAATGTGAACGCTGGTATAGTGCTGATCTGATCAGATATTGATCCGTTCAGACACTATACTAGCAATGGAGGTTTATTGTGTATCGTGTTCCTGGCAATCAAGGGGTTAAAAGGCAATCTGACTTTATCTGGGAGGGGTGTGAAAACCATGGGAGCGCGAATCATGTATATATATGTGATTTTGCGCACCTGTGCCGCCCTGTAGCAGTATTTCTGCTATAGAGCGGTCAGTAAGCTGTTACAGAAACGGTTTGTGTTACGGCGCTGTTAC